TAACTTATAATTAACTTGAAATTAAGTTACAATAAAATTATAATAAACTATAACATGAAACTATATATATTATATTATTTATAATATGTTGGACTAATGTTTGAGTTTGAATAATTAATAATTTGGATTAAATATTATTTCTATCATTTTACATTCGAGTTTTCTAATAAAATTATAAGTCAGTTTAATTATTATCCTGTATAAAAGAATAGATATTATTATTTAATTATAAATTAAATAATAATTAGATAATGATTTAATAGTAAATTAGTTAACTAATAATTATTAGTTATAAATTAAATATAAGATACTAATTATTAATTATTTTAACTCAATTTTGCTTAACTACAATATTATATAAAGTTAGATTTTAACAGTAAATGTTATTTAACAATATTATTTTTGTTTAGTTACATATGTTTTTTTTTTATTATTCTTTGTTACTTTAGAACAAGGGTCTATTGAATTTCACACGTGTCTTTTACGACTTTTCCTCATAGGGTTTTAAGTTTCATCTGGCGAGAAAGTCCTTGAATTACTCAAGTACTTTTTATGGGTTTTGAAAATTCGGTTACAATGTACCTTTGTACCGAAATATGTTTTTTTTTATTTTATTTTATTTTCTTTTGTAAATAAAACAGAGTTAACCAAAAGATGTTTATTTTACAACTGGTAAGAGTAAAAGCATTAAATAAAGGACTGGAATATTTACTTCGAATATAAAATTTAACTAATTTTAATCATTTAATATTTACTAGTTTGAATATTTCGTTTGAATTCGCGCTCTCATAATAGATAGCGCTCTAATAACAGGTAGCGTCACCTGTTGAATGCACTGGGTGCATCACAGTATTAACATACTGGGTTTCAGCGCGGGAAAGGAATAATTTTAAATAAAAGAATTCTATTTAGACGTTATTTAATTTATACTCTTTGTTCGTTCCGTTATGGGCTGCCAGTATACTGCCGCTTATTCAGGTATTCCGCTGTACTGGCTTTTTTGGCAACGCGTTGATTGGTCTTTCTCCTTCCTACTGGGTCTTAGCTGTGCTCCAACTCAGGTACTCGTCCCCCTAGCGGTTTTGTAAATGCCGAAAAAATGTCGCAGTTATACAGTATTAATGCCGTATTTTTTCAGTTGTTTTGGTCAGTTTTTTCATCGAAATATTACGGAACATTTACCGTAAAAATGCGAAATATTTACGCTAAAAATGCGGCATATTTACGGTAATAAGGCGGTAAAATGACTGTATTAAAACCATATTTAAAAAATGGTGTAAAATTAAATAAAGCTGAGACTGGGATTCGAACTCAGAACCTCCCGAGGACAAGTCGGCTACTCTACCATTTGAGCTACCCGGCCTCCCGGCCTGTACCATAATGTTTTTTGCTTATTCTATATACATTAAGCCATACCGTCCATCTTACGATAAGCATATTTAAAATTAAATAATATAGTTATATATGTGAAACAATGTAACTTTTCGATTTTAGAAAATTTGCAAGTTTCTGAGTGAGAAATTAAAAATTGAAATTGAAATTAGAATATATTTACTTAACATATGTATTCTTTAATATTCATTACCGCTGAATACCTAATTAAAAAATAATATTCTACATAATATTTATTCAAAAACAGTATTTGTTTTTGCAAAGTAGCGATGGAGAATAAAAAGCACAATTGGAAATTTTTCATTTTATTTATTTCTAACATAGAAGTGAACTAAAAATAAAACCAAATTTTTAATAATTTTCCATTATGTCAGAAAATATTCGGCAAAATTACTGCATTATTACGGTAATTATTTGGAATTTTTTGGGTAAAATTTGGGAATTAATGCGGTAATTGTATAGTATATTTTCGGTAACTGTACAGCATAAGTGCAGTATATATACTGGATATTTACAGTATAAAAACTGGCCAAAACAACTATAGTTTAACCGCATTATTACCGAATTATAACGGCAAATATATGGCAAATATTTTCTTAAAACCGCGAGGGCCTTTCCGACCGTCTTTGATCTACCTGGCTTCGCCAGCAATCAGCTCAGACTATCTTCTCTTATTTTTTATACAATATTTTATATTCCTTAAGAGATTAAAATATATTTTCTAATATTTCTATAATTACTTAGATATGTCGAGAGCAATTAGGTAGTAAATTTATATATTTATGGCTTAATCCTCTTTTCTATCTTATTATTCCTAGTCTATTGTGATAAATTTTCAGAGAGTAAAAATACATTTTAACAATAACCTTTTTTACTAATAGCTAAAAGTCTAGACCTAAGTTATGGGGGTTTCCCAAAAGTTTTCTTCTAATTATAAATAAATCTAATGTTAAAATTTCGTGCTATCAAAGGGGTATCATCAGTGCTCGCGTGGCGGCGCCAGTCGCGATTCAACTAAACCGTGATATGACATCAACACTAGTATCTTGCTGAGACCTAACAAAGCAACCAGAAGTTGTGTTTATTTTTTCTTTTCAGTTCTCAGCAAAAGACGAAAACAAAACAATCTGTCGAACTTTACAGAGAAATAATTAAAAAATACCAATTTTAAAAACAAGAAATTTGATTATTACAAATACGTATAATAAAAACATGTGACAAAATAAAAATCCTATAAAAAAACATTTACAAAGTTTGCAAATAACTGTATTTATAAATAATTATTAATGAAAAAATAAAATAAATATATATAAAGTGTAATTTCTAATCAGTGGTGTATTAAAGGCGTATTTAAGAGTTAATTCAAATATGTAAATTAAATGAAAAAATTGAATAAATAAAAAAAATATCACCAATAATTCGAAAAAATTTTCATTGAATTTTATTCGATGAGTCGTGTCAATAAAATATTGGATGCAAGGATAAATGATAAATGATAGGATAGGTTAAAATAGTAAGTAAATTAAGTTTTTTATAATAATTATCATAGTTGTATTAAATATATACAAAATAAAGTTCATTCTATACCCATTCATACAGCTTTAAAACTCATATTTTTATTCAGCTGAAAATTTTGAATAGTTTTTATTCAACTTGAGTTTTTGGGGAAAAAAAATCATTGAGCCTGATTATGCGTTAACATCATGCATAATTGTGTCTGAATATTTGCCAGTGAAAAGTTTTTTGCTTATCGTATCACTACCCAGCTAACAATATGAACAACTCCACTTTAATAAAATTTTATAATCAAACCAAAAAATTGAAGTGTTTAAAAGAATTTAAGTTATAACTATTAAAATCCTTTTAAATACCACCTCTTATCAGTTTTCAGCATGTGAGAAATTTTTCTTGATCCTTTTGTATTTTCAGGGTTCTCATTTATGCACACATTTTGCTAAAAAATATATTTTCATAAGAAGAAATAACAAGACGTTTTCATTTAATTATACTCTACATATAGACTTTGATGGTTGGTAATGTATAGATTAGTGTCTTTTTTTGAAAACATTATTTTTGTTTATGTTCTTAAAAGCTTTCCATACATGTTAACATTTGATTTGTATGTAATGTCTACTATTGAACTAAAAAATTTTTTTTAAATCGGGGATTGTTTTTGTATATGAAAGAAGCTATTGAAACTTAAAAAAAAAAAAAAAAAAAAAATTTCAAAAAAAAAACACCCTAGCATATAGATATGCATATCCAAGCATGATTGTGAATATGCGAAAGCAGTCATTCCTAAACATTCTCTGAAAGGTTTAGACATTCAATGATGACAAAATAGTGTATAAATTTATTTTTACTATATGGGTCATTCTCAGTTAAGACGTAAATCGATTATTGATAAAACGCGGCACGATAAAAAATTTGAAAATGTAATTAAATTTTATAATGTTTCGATCAAAACAATCATTCTCAACGTGTCTGAAAGGTGGTCAGTCAATTTATTAATTTTATCTTGTTTTATAAAAAACCAGAGGAGATACTTAATCCAGGGGAGAGACTTGATAAACAGTATGTAAAAAAATTATAATAATCGAGTTTTTTCAATTAACTATATTGTGAATATATTTATACGTTCAATTAAATAACATTATGCAACCTGTAAACAATAAAAAAACAGTAAAAAAAATTCTAGTTTGAAGTTTTCATATCTCCTCTGGAATCGTGTCTTTCCTCTGATGGCCTTTACAAAACAGGGAAGATACTTTTTAGTAACAAAAACAAAAGTAATGACAAATGTATTTATTGTACGCGATTAACCAAGAAAACTTAGAATCTATACACAACAAGAAGTAAATATACAGATGAATTAAAATTTTTAGATAAATATTTTTAAAATAAAACTTAACAGGAGAGAGACTCCATTCACTGGTTCTCAACTGTTTCCACAGAGTGTCAGTAATGAAATAAATAACAAAATGACTGCGCACCTAGTTCGGCTGGCACTGACTACGAAGTATAAACTCAATGACGTATGTTTAAGGTTTTCAATTCCCGTGACTCGTTAAACAAATGCCGATTTTACAGGAAAATAACCATGCCAGGGGACGAGACGCAAAATGTGGGGGACAAACTTGAACGTAATTTTTTTTAACAAAAAAAAAAATATCATGCAATTTTACTCGCTTGATTACGAGAATTTATTTAATTTATTTTGTTAAAATATATAATTTAAATAATCTATTTGATTTCTAAGCACTTTAAATTACTAATACATAAACAGAATCAGCCCGGGGACAAGCCAGGGGAGAGATGTTTTCGGACTTTAAGATGGAATTGAGACTAAATTAAATAAAATTAAGAAATGAATTTGAGTGACCACTTACATGAGCACGAAATTTAAGAGATAATTACATTTTTTTTAGTAAATTTTTTTAAAAATGATGATTTTTCACCATGGACGTCGAATTTACGTCTTAACTATGAGAATGACCCATATATTAGTTAATATTTTAATAAATTCGCATATCTTGTATTCGATATTTATGTTGACTCATATAATACTGTGATGCAGGTCCTGAAAAAAACAGCTTAAAGTTAACGATATGGATAAATTAACAGTAATTTCTGGAACACTGTTTCTTGCTGCTGATATTTTTGCTATAGCTAGTCTTTCCATGCCAGATTGGATCATTACTGATATTGGTGGTAAGTGATTATTATACTGTTAATTTCATAGTTTTAATTACAATCGATTTTTGCTACTCTGTAGAAACATCAGTTTATCCCTACCATAAAGAGATGTATCCTCAATTTTATATTAAGAAAATTATTATTTTCAAATATTAAATATTTAGTATACTTCGATGTTTTGAAATCCTAGAAAATTATTTTAACTATTTCTGATATGATGATAGTATAAGAAAACGGGATTTCCATGAAAATTACGATACCGGAGCAACAGTCTGCGAAAAAGAAAACGTCTGAATCTAAAAAAGACTTCGATCGATCGTGATTGATTGGAATTAGAAGTTTTTTCTTTTTATAGAAATTTCCGTTACTTATTGTGAATGCAATTTCTCGTCAACTAAGTAACTACTATTTTCTATCGATGAATTGATAGATAGATAAATAAATAAACAAATTTATTAGATCCTAGATCTTTAGCCCCCTCAGGACCATCAAGATACATATTTTTACAGTGTGATTTAATGTATAGTTAATATAATAATATAATCATTTAACTATGTGACATGATACAGACGTATACGTAATTTTAAATACTCAAAATAATTTAACAATATTGATATTAATATTGATAACAATTGATAGGTCGTAAGTGACTAGTGATAACAGATATAAGTACTATAATTCATTATTCTTCATTTTCTACTAAGAAGTTAAAACAAACATTCCGAAATTCATCAACACTACTAGCTGCTACTACCTTAGTAGGCGACGAATTTCTAACTCGTATACCATGAACTAGAAACAAATTTTCATAAATCATAGTTCTTGTTTGAAGCAATCGCAGGTAATCCGGCCTTACATTTCCTCTACGCATCGCAACCGGTAAAAATTCTAAGTTCGAGCTGAATAACTGCTGATAGTTATGATAAATTTCTTTATAGAATAAAAAAAGCAATAAAATAGTCTCTTCTAGTGCTGAGTACTATGAACTACGTAAATTTAATCTGATAAGATAATATAAATGATTATTCGATAATATGGATAATTACTTTAACTTTAAGGAAGTAAAATTTTTATAAAAATGTTGTAGAATCATTTTTTTGTTTATTGAAAGCCCTTAAATAACTATCTCTATTTCATATTTCTCACTGTATTTTACATATACATAGTTATTCTGATACACATATCCATGAATACTTCACTTCATTAGTTTTCGAAATACCTAAAAAAATATTTTTAAATACTTAAAATTCGGTATAACCCTTCAAAAATGAATATTGACTTTGATTTTAATCGATTTTTTTCCCGGAACTTTTATGTATTTATTGATTCACATATTTAAGTGTTTTTTTTTTTTTTATTATTTCAGGAGACACTAAATTAGGATTAATGTGGTCATGTATGACATTATACAATAGACCCCAAGTCTGTTACACTCCAGATCTCCAACCTGAATGGTTAATTGCATTAGCTTGTATATTTGTTGGGTGTATTTTAATAACTGTTACAATCATATTACTTATTTGTTCTCATTGGGATCGACATGTTATTCCATATGCTAGATGGGTTGGATTTACAGCAAGTACGTCTTATAGTTATTAGTATCATGATAAGTAACACATCTATTAAAATTACTAATCTATTTTTACAGTGGTTCTATTTTGTTTAGCAGCAGTAATCTTTCCAATGGGTTTTCATGTAGATGAAATAGGGGGTCAACCATATCAGCTACCTAATTCTCACCAAGTTGGAATATCGTATATTTTATTTGTTTTGGCCTTGTGGATAACTGTTATATCTGAATTATTTGCTGGTAAAGTGTGTTTACCTCACTTTTAAAACTGTCATGATTTCAAAAAAACCAGTGATGTGTATTAAATTTTCGTTTTAATCGTAAGATTCAAATTAATATAACTTTATATGCTGTTTATTACTATAAAAATTCTTTATGATTAATATATTGTTTAAATTAAAAAAAAATTATTATTTAGCGTTTATTTTAAAATTTAACTTTCAATCTGAGTTCATCAGGAGTATCTGAGGTGAAAATTTTGAGAATTTCACTCCCAATGAATTAAACTGTGTATAATTTTTTACAAAACACAAAATATGCATAGAAAAATGTGATTTCAAGGTTGATCGCAGGTACTCACTTACATGAAAAAAGGAGACGAAAAAATTTTTCGATCGTACAGCACTATCTGATGCTTAACATCATGAGTCGGGCAATATACTCTCAAAAAGTATGATCTTATGAGTTCAGTTCAGAATGGAGTACATAAACTCATACAAATTCTAGTGTGAACTTGAAAACTTCGTTGCAGAATTCTTGGATTGAATCTTAATTATCATATTTTATATTGTCATATTATATATTATCATATTATATATTGTATATATATCATATTATATATTGTATTACATAAAATGACGCCTAATGGACATAAATGTGCAAGCTGCTCTAAGATAATTAGAGTAAATGCGGGCTGCATTGGCTGCCCTCATTGTAAAAAGTGGTACCATAAAAAATGTAGTGACCTTAGTGATGTTGAATTTAAAAAGTATCTTGCAGAATATCGAAAAAAGGGGATCACGAGCTGGGAATGTGGTCGGTGTAATTTTGAGTAGATTTTTCAAATAAAGAAAATTGATTTTTAATGAAATTATATAAATACTTATATGTATAATGTATATGTATAATGTATAATTTAATTCATGAATTAAACACAAAATTCAATAATAAATTTAAAACTATTTAGAACAAATTTCGGAAAAAAAATTATCTCGTGAAGAAAAAGTTTCTCGAACATTTATCAAACAATTGCAAAGATTATAAGATTTGAATTATCAATGTCCATATTTTAAGTAACTGCTTAGGAACAACATTTTCCAAGTTAATCTGAATTTTGAAACCGGATAAAATTTTAATTGAAGAAAACAATATTTAGAACTAATTTATGACATATTTACTGACGACCTACCCGAAAACATTACAGGAAAGACTGATTAATATCGTAATTATTGAATTTACATCATGATTAAGCTATGATGAGGGACAATAATTCTAAAACGGCTGCAACAGTAAAACTGTTTCATTAAACAAACTCTGAAAGACGTAATATTGAAGCTATTACTACTTCTGAGTAGTGGAAATTCAAGCTTATTAAAAGAGCTTTACGATGCATTTGACCGAATTTTAATATCTTGTCTAGTTCAGTAATTATACCAAGTTGAAGTAGTAAAAACAGCAATTTTTACGATTTTCAAAATTTCAAAATCCTGTCATTTTCAAATTACTCGCCCGATTAAGCTCATCTTCAAACTTAGCCTTAGTCTTGATCGATAGATAAAGCATGTTGAGTTTGAGGAGAATCGGTTATAAATTGAAAACGCTATCGTGCTGACAAGCCGCGTTATATCGTATATATATTAGGGTGATTCATTTCCGCAAAATTTTTTTTTTTTTCGGTGCTCATGAAAAATATTAATCTACATATAGAAAAAAAAATTCCTACCAAGTTTGAGCTCTTAATATTAATTTTAAGTACTTACAATAAAAATTTAAAGTTTTACCATTTAGAATGCATGTAAAAAAATTTTTTTTTTTTCAAATTTCTAATGCTTAGCCGGCTTTTACAATATTGCAAATCGGTTTGATGGACCTTGTGGGGAATTTCACGCTCTTCAAAAAAGCCTTAAAGTTTTTTTGTGTAACTCGCACTGGTTCACCGGTAGGAGTCGTCAAAGTACAATTTTTGAAAAAAATATTTCTTTTAATTTTTCGAGCAAATCACCAATGGTAGGAAGAAAAAAAGGACTGACTCATAAAAAAAAAAAGTCAGCCATTTTTATAGCGGGAAACGTAAGAAATTGATAAATACTAACTCATAATGTTATGTAGATTTATTTTTTCTGTTTATTACCATTAAATTTCCCTACACTACAAATTTTTTTTAAATTATTATGATTTCTCACCCATAATAAATATTAAAACAACACAAAAATTAATTAAAAAAACTACAAGAATAAAATTATAACATAGATCTTGCAATTTTTCAATATTTTTGTCGTTTACGAAAAAAATAAAAATGAAGATTATTTAATTTTTTGTAGCAAAATTCCTAAATTAGTAAAAAATTTCATTTTTCCCATTGTCAACTTTATTCACGCCAACTTTGTATAAGTAGAAATCATTCTTTGAAAAATTGCAGCAAGCAGTCCCAAGATGGCATATTCTATCATTGCTCTAGTTAATTAGCATGATATTACTACCCTTCATCGAAGATCATCTACAGGTAAAAATATTGTAAAGTTTTTTACTAATGGAAAAAATTATTGCTGAGTTGTGCTTTGTTTCTCTCACTGAGTAAACAATTTTCATATTTTAATATTAACTACATTTAATTTTTACAGAATCGAACTTCAAGAGATGACTATCATGAACTTTTGACGTTGAGCTACATTTTTTTAGGAGGTGTACCAAACAAAGGTGTAAAATTTAGAGCTCCTGGTGCTATGCACCATGCTCGTTGGCTATCGAAAGCTATCTATAGTTTAAAAATATATATGTTCAGAGAACAATTTCACGTCAACCCGTCAGAATTATTAGCTTTACGAGAAGTTTACTTATTTATTGTTTTTTTTTATGTTGAAGCATGGTTCGTAGCAACAAGTGCTATTGAAGCTCCGTATCATGACTTGAAACTATTTCAAAAATTATAAGAGTATAAAAAAGATCACGCAAAAATTGCAGAAGCTGCTTTAGAGAAACTTTCCAAGCATTTGTGGTACTTAAACGAGAACCTTACAGGCTTGGCGCTTTTTGATCAAAAATTATCCAGAGAAGAAAAATTAAAAATAGTTGATACTACTAAAAACAAAAAATCGAGCAATAGTAAATATTCTCAATTTACTTTAGACAGGAAAAAGCTTGAAATAATGTCGTCTAAAAGTATAAGTAATTTTGTGACTCAAAAATCTATCACGATTTTTGATAAGTTTAATTTGACGTGTGAATTTTTAGACATCGACCCTGATTTGTGGGAAACAGATCAAGAATACATTACTTGCTGCGAAACTTTAAAAAAACTACGTGTTGTTAATGATACTGACGAACGATGTGTTGCACTCATTGAAAAATTTAACGAATTTGGTACATATGATGAAGATCAGAAACAATATTTATTATTAACAGTTCAACAATGTAGAAAAGACTTTCCAACGTGCGCCAAAAAACTATATTCAGCTTCAAAATTTTGATGTGTTTTCAATAACACTAGTAATTATTTAAATTAATTAACTTGTTTTTCATGACTACTTAGATGTTTATAACATTTGAAGCATTTTACATAAGAATGTAACCTTCTATACATTTTCATTAAATTTTTGTTGCTTTTTGATGAATTCATGTATTGTTTTTGTATTCATTATGAGTAAAAAATCATACTAATTTTAAAAAAGTTCTTAGTGTAGGGAAATATAATGGCAATAAATAGAAAAAATAAATCTAAATAACATAATGAGTTAGTATTTATCAATTTCTTACGTTTCCCGCTATAAAAATGGCTGTAAATTCATTAAATATTGGTTAGATGACTTTTTTTTATGAGTCAGTCCTTTTTTCTTCCTACCATTGGTGATTTGCTCGAAAAATTAAAAGAAATTATATTTTTTTCAAAAATTGTACTTTGACAACTCCTACCGGTGAACCAGTGCGAGTTACACAAAAAAAACTTTAAGGCTTTTTTGAAGAGCGTGAAATCCTCCACAAGGTCCATCAAATCGATTTGCAATATTGTAAAAGCCGGCTAAGCATTAGAAATTTGAAAAAAAAAAAAAAAATTTT